ACACACACTCACTCACTCACTCACTCACTCACTCACTCACTCACTCACTCACTCACTCACTCACTCACTCACTCACTCACTCACTCACTCACTCACTCACTCACTCACTCACTCACTCACTCACTCACTCACTCACTCACTCACTCACTCACTCACTCACTCACTCACTCACTCACTCACTCACTCACTCACTCACACACACACACACACACACACACACACACACACACACACACACACAACTCAGTTGTATTGGTGGGGGTTTCCCTTCATGATTTTTTTTATTTATTTAACCAAATAATAATAGCTATTTAACCAACTATGTACTTTAACTCAGGGAGCCTTTGCTTTCTGTCAATTAAGACTAAACACTTTAAGACCATAAGACTAAAACCAACCAGCCAACCTAAAACTATATATCTAACCAAACTCTCCTCAGCATTACATTTTGTACCAGATATTCTAAATTAATTAAATTAAGTCACTGATATGTTTAGGAAGCTTGTTAAATGTCAGAAATGTAAAGATATCAATGTTCACAATTCTTCTCACAGCAAGCAGGTAAATGCCACAGTTACGGAATGTAGTGAATCATTCTATACACTTGGTCTTACGGAAGGTCAAAAGTTTTCAGTTTGTTAGTTGCTCTGTTTGGAAAAGAATTTACACAATAAGTGATCCTAACCTAACTACATTTTAAGCATGTTTAGTTTTTTCCCCGTCTGACAAGTGATTACTTGAAATGAGCGATTTACTGTGTGCTTACAGTAAAGTGCCACATTTGAATGCCTTCAGAAAACATGTCACCTCATAAATCTACACGTCCATGGTCGTGTGGCACGAATGTGGCCTCTGAACCTCTGTCCTCTTTTTCCAGTAATACAAGCTGTTCAGGATATGCAACATTCAGTATGCTGTGCTCACAAGAGCTACAATAGTAAATATTGCCCTAAATTTAAATTTTGTGTTCTTGCCAATGCTTATTTTATACTCTTTTATGTACATTATGATTATGTACGTAATTGTGAAATGAAAT